ACGTCTACATTGGAAGTAAATAGCAAGAAGTAGGAAGTAAGAGTAAGAAATTGACCAACCACAGTCGAATGTGAGAAGAATAATCAACTATGATTGGTCAATTTCTTATTCTTACTTCCTACTTCTTACTGCTTACTTCCAATGTAGTCCCTTAAGGGACGTCTACATTGGACGACTGTTGAGTCTGCTGAATGCAGCCATTGGCTGCATTCAGCAGACAGTTGCACACAGTTGAGTAATTTGTCAATGTAATTGGTCTAGATTTAGGGATCTAATAGCAAGAACCAATAATCGTTGATTGCTCACTGAGCGCTTTTTCTACTGAATGCAGCCATAGGGCGCATTCAGTAGAAAAAGCGCTCAGTGAGCAATCAACGATTATTGGTTCTTGCTATTAGATCCCTAAATCTAGACCAATTACATTGACAAATTACTCAACTGTTGTGCAACTGTTGAGTCTACTGAATGCAGCCATAGACACTACGTAGCTTTAGGTTGTCAGAATTAGCGCTTCGGAAGAATCTGGCAACCCTGTGGATTTCAGTTGAGATTTGCAATTTGTGCTTGTCGTCACGTCGCAAGTAGTTTTGTGCTTGATAGTCTTTATAGAATTTTAAAGGTATCACGTGTGTACCTTCCATCCCAACATGTATGCTCTCGAAGGTGGTAAGTATAAAACAATATATAAATCTATGTAAATCTAAATTTTAATATATAGTATAGTAAAAGTACAAAATTGATTAAGAAGTTAAGAAAACGTTTGCTTCTTCTCTTCAGTCTCTCTAGTAATTAACGTTAACGTTAGACATTAGAAATTTGCTCATGAAATATCTCTTACACTAGATCAATACGATGACGAGGACGCGGAGGAGATCTCGTCGAAGCTCTGGCAAGAAGCTTGCTGGATCGTTATTAACGCGTACTTCGACGAGAAGGGTCTCGTGCGTCAACAGTTGGACAGCTTCGACGAATTCATCGAGATGTCCGTTCAACGTATCGTAGAGGACTCGCCGCAGATCGACTTGCAAGCGGAAGCGCAGCACACCACGGGTGAGATAGAGAATCCAGTGAGACACTTGTTAAAATTCGAGCAGATCTACCTGTCCAAGCCTACCCACTGGGAGAAGGATGGCGCGCCGTCTCCTATGATGCCCAATGAGGCCAGACTCAGGAATCTGACATACTCGGCCCCATTGTACGTGGACATCACCAAAACTATCATGAAGGACGGTGAGGAACCTGTGGAAACTCAGCATCAGAAAACATTCATTGGGAAGATTCCGATCATGTTGCGGTCCAAGTACTGCCTGCTGGCTGGCCTATCAGATCGTGATCTAACGGAACTGAATGAATGTCCACTGGATCCTGGTGGGTACTTCATCATTAATGGCTCAGAAAAGGTTCTCATAGCGCAGGAGAAAATGGCCACAAACACTGTCTATGTGTTCAGTATGAAAGACGGCAAGTATGCCTATAAGGCTGAGATCAGATCTTGCTTGGAGCATAGCTCGCGTCCCACATCGACTCTGTGGATCAATATGATGGCCAAGAGTGGAGCCAGTATTAAGAAATCTGCTATAGGCCAACGTATCGTTGCCATTATACCGTATGTGAAGCAGGAAATCCCTATCATGGTTGTTTTCCGCGCTCTGGGATTCGTCGCGGATCGTGACATTCTGGAGCACATTATTTACGACTTCGACGATCCCGAAATGATGGAGATGGTGAAGCCGTCCTTGGACGAGGCATTTGTAATACAGGAGCAAAACGTTGCCTTGAATTTCATCGGCACCAGGGGTGCTCGCGCCGGCGTGACCAAAGAGAAGCGTATCAAATACGCCCGGGAAATTTTGCAGAAGGAAATGCTGCCGCACGTCGGCATAAGCGACTTCTGCGAGACCAAGAAGGCTTACTTCCTCGGCTACATGGTGCACCGATTGCTGTCGGCGTCCTTGGGACGGAGGGAGCTGGACGACCGGGATCATTACGGCAACAAACGGCTGGACTTGGCCGGGCCTCTGCTGGCGTTCCTTTTCCGCGCCTTGTTCAAGAACTTGATGAAGGAGGTGCGTCTTTACGCGCAGAAGTTCATTGATCGCGGTAAGGACTTTAACCTCGAGCTGGCTATCAAAACGAAAATCATCACCGACGGCTTGAGATACTCGCTCGCCACCGGCAACTGGGGCGACCAGAAGAAAGCGCATCAAGCGAGAGCAGGCGTGTCGCAGGTACTCTATGACATATTTGTTATTTCAGCTTACACGTTATTTTACATTACCTTTATATTTTCCCTCATCCATCTACCTTCATTCTTGACTTTTTTCTTCTTTAGCCTTCTTGTTTTCCATCCAATATTTATTTGGTCCTTCATTGCAGGTATTGAATAGGTTGACTTTCGCATCGACTTTGTCGCATCTTAGACGAGTGAATTCCCCGATTGGAAGGGATGGTAAATTGGCCAAGCCGCGCCAATTGCATAACACATTGTGGGGTATGCTGTGCCCCGCGGAAACTCCTGAGGGTGCCGCTGTAGGATTGGTGAAGAATTTAGCCCTGATGGCTTACATCAGCGTCGGTTCGCAACCTTCGCCCATCCTCGAGTTCTTGGAGGAGTGGTCGATGGAGAATCTTGAGGAGATCGCCCCGAGCGCGATAGCCGACGCTACGAAGATATTTGTAAACGGATGCTGGGTCGGTATCCATAGAGATCCGGACCAGCTGATGGCTACCTTGCGCAAGCTGAGGCGGCAGATGGACATTATCGTGTCGGAAGTGTCTATGATCCGTGACATTAGAGATCGTGAGATAAGAATATACACGGATGCCGGTAGGATTAGTAGGCCTTTGCTCATAGTGGAAGGCCAGAATCTTTTATTGAAGAAGAGACACATTGATATGTTGAAAGAAAGAGATTATAATAACGACGGGTGAGTTATCTTTTTTAACAGATTCATTGTCTTGTAAATATAACAAAGCGCGTTAAGAAATCTTTTACCATTGGATACCCGAAAAAACAGGCTATATTTAATCAAGCTACAAATCGGTAATCGTTGCGACGTCTTTCTAGAAAGAATTTCTGAATATAGTTTATCTTTTCGGGCATTCGGTGGTAAAAGACTTCAATTGGGGCATTGATGACAATAAATATTGTTACAGATGGCAAGAGTTGGTAGGTAGTGGAGTAGTAGAATACATAGACACTCTGGAGGAAGAAACCGTCATGATCGCTATGTCGCCCGATGATCTCAGGCAAGACAAGGAGTACGCGTATTGTACGACGTATACACACTGCGAGATCCATCCGGCAATGATCTTAGGCGTCTGCGCTTCTATCATACCTTTCCCCGATCATAATCAGAGTCCTAGGAATACTTATCAGGTGAATGCATAATTTCAAGTAGTCTGACAGATTTCTGCGGTATGGGGAAATGCTTGTTCTGAATTTAGAGTTGCCGCGTCCTTCGTGAGTTTGTTTCCGATATTCCAGCTCATTCAGGGAAAAGTGACTTGAAACTGTTTCTGGAGATAGTTCCAGGTCCTCCCTCTCTCTGAGCAAGCGGACTGGAAACGTCGGGAATAAATTCTCTCGAAGGACAGCAGTAACCCGAAAGTCAGGATAAGCGTTTCAACTTGGCATTTTTCTTTGAATCCTCTTTCTCGTTAATCTCTTTACGTTACTGGTGGAACATATCTTTCAGAGTGCTATGGGTAAACAAGCTATGGGCGTATACATTACGAATTTTCACGTACGTATGGACACTTTGGCCCACGTGCTGTATTACCCTCACAAGCCGCTGGTAACCACAAGATCGATGGAGTATCTTAGATTCCGTGAACTGCCAGCGGGTATCAACAGCATCGTTGCGATTTTGTGTTATACGGGATACAATCAGGAGGACAGTGTCATTTTAAATGCCAGCGCCGTGGAGAGAGGCTTTTTCAGATCAGTGTTTTACCGGTCTTACAAGGAGTCCGAGTCGAAGAAGATCGGTGATCAGGAAGAGCAATTTGAGAAACCGTCACGCTTAACTTGTCAAGGAATGCGCAACGCCATATACGATAAGCTAGATGACGATGGAATAATTGCACCTGGAATTCGAGTATCTGGCGACGATGTGATTATCGGTAAAACGATTACCCTGCCGGAAACAGACGATGAGGTGAATATTCTTAAATGTATCATATCGTTTAAGTCACTAAACTATATAACAAACTGGAACGAATACTGACATAGCTTCTTCTTGAATAATCTCAAACGAAGAAAGATAGTTTAAAGAATATTATTGTCTTCCTTCTTTGTGTTCTTCTAAAAAATATTGCTGTTTTTCACATGCCACTCTAGCAAAAACCAAGATTATAGTGTTAGAGAGACAAAAGAAGAAAGAGCGATGTTAAAGATCTATTAACACTGAAATGCTCAATAAATTGCTTCTAATTATAGAGGACAAATAAATAATAATTATAATGCATCTCTTATTATAGAAAATTATAAGTTTGAAAAAATTATGAGATAGATAATGAGAGACAGAGAGAGTTAAGGTATTAGAAGAAGTAACAAAAAGTCAAAATGACTCAGGCATCTAAAGAGATTATCATTCCCAGGCATTCTAGCGTTAAGAGACTATCTTTGTTTTGCAAATCAGTATGGTTCTGCCGGGCTGATGCTTATTCTAATTTGTTGTATAGTTTAATAGTTTAGATGAATAGCTGGTGATAACGCAATCGGCCTTTTACGCTTTCAGTTGGACAGTACGACAAAGCGTTTCACAAAACGTGACGCGTCGACGTTTTTGCGAAATAGTGAAACCGGTATAGTCGATCAGGTGATGTTGACACTGAACAGCGAGGGATACAAGTTCTGTAAGATCCGTGTACGCAGCGTACGTATTCCGCAAATAGGCGACAAGTTTGCGTCGCGTCACGGACAGAAGGGAACGTGTGGAATTCAATATAGACAAGAGGACATGCCGTTCTCCTGCGAAGGTCTCACCCCCGACATAATTATCAACCCCCACGCTATTCCCTCTCGTATGACTATCGGTCACTTGATCGAGTGTATACAGGGAAAGGTTTCGGCAAACAAAGGTAAACAATTTTCTTCTGAATTTCAGTTTAATTTTAAAACAGTCATGAGATTTTGCGAGGTCTGATCCATTCATGTCGTATTTTCAGGAGAGATCGGTGATGCTACACCATTTAACGACGCTGTGAATGTGCAGAAGATCTCCACGCTTCTGCAGGAATATGGTTACCAGTTGCGAGGAAATGAAGTCATGTACAATGGGCACACAGGTCGTAAGATCAATGCACAAGTATTTTTAGGGCCGACCTATTATCAACGTTTAAAGCATATGGTGGACGATAAGATTCACAGTAGAGCAAGAGGACCCGTGCAAATTTTAGTTCGACAGCCTATGGAGGGTCGAGCGAGGTAATTACTAGCGTTATTACTCTTATTAATCCAATATAAATTATCTTTTGCCAACATATGTATATGCTTACGTATTTATTTAGGGACGGCGGACTTCGTTTCGGAGAGATGGAGCGAGATTGTCAAATTTCTCACGGTGCAGCGCAGTTCTTGAGAGAGCGTCTGTTTGAAGTATCAGATCCTTACCGAATTCACATTTGTAATTTTTGCGGCTTGATTGCCATCGCGAATTTACGGAACAATACGTTCGAGTGTAAAGGATGTAAAAACAAAACGCAGATTTCGCAAATTAGATTGCCATATGCGGCGAAGTTACTCTTCCAGGAACTGATGGCAATGAATATTGCGCCTAGACTCATGACTACGTGAATATTAATACGTTGATTCTTATTTTGTGTGCAAATTAGGTAAACGGAAGAGTAAATAAAATATGCTTCACTGTACATAAATCATACAGCATTAAATCGTATAGCAATTAAATATTACAGTGAAGTGATGTCAGTAAATAGTTTTTCACCTTATTATGATAAAAGACGTTCATCAACAAATAATTTAATAACTAAGTAGTACCTTTTAAGCTGTTTTGTTTTAAGCTATTCGTACTGTTTTATGCTTCATTGAAACTTTTGTGAAAGAGGAAATAAAAACTATTTCTACGGTGTTAGTAGAAAAAATATTATTACTATTATTGAATAACCTTTTTTTACATTGACGGTTTTCCTCTATAAATTGTAGTGTGAACTTTTACAAAAAAAAGAAATAAATATAAGAAAATACTAATTTAAAGTACAGATACAAACTTAAAGTTACAAGTCATAATGTTAGAAAGAAAAATCTATTACAAAGAAGAATGTGAGGGAAGTATATATAATAAAACAAAATCTTATAAAAAAAATTAATATTGTATAATAATGCTATAATCAATTTATCGTTCTACTTAGATTGTGATTTCCTAAGATTAATATTATATTTTCCTAACAGTAATATTGTATTTTATACATATTTCTCTCTCATTTCATAATTTATATTTATTTCAGTTTATATATATAGTGTTTTTATATATATATATATATATATATATATATATATATATATATATATATATACATATATATATATTATATAATACATTTTATAATTCATATTTACATTTCATAATAATGATACATTTTATACAGAAGGATAAGCATATGTATACGGAATGTTAATTGGACCTTCGATCTGTTTGAACATTAAAATTTATTATTCTATAAAAAATGTCAAAAGAAATTAATTTTTTTATGCAAGTTTCTTGGAAGATCCAACTTTAAAGTAATACAGTAATGTTATTTAGATGTTGATATTTTCATGGCCGGTACTTTTGACGCAATTTTTTTAAAGCAGAAAGATGCAAAACTTTTTTAAAACAAGAATAAACTTGGAAAAATTCGTTTTAATGTCATGTTTCGAGTCGTTTGTAAATTTCTATAACATAAAAGAAAATTTTAATTTGCAGAAAAATAAAATTAAATATTTCCTTAGTAAATATATGTTTTCTGTATGTTTTATACATATATGTTTATATATAGATTTTTATGTATATATATATATATATATATATGATCTGTAGTATATATATATACTTAAAATTCTACAATGAAGTAACAATTCTCGATCAAAAATTACGAAAACACAGCGCAATATAAGCGGTTCTCAACTTTAGCTAAAAGGATGCAACAGTACGTCAACGGCCGTGAATGTATTAATGATCTGAAGTCCTTATATGTTACATACATCTAAAACACAAAATTTTGCTTTGCAGACAGGACAGGTACATTTAGAAGACAACCATGTCTCTGGAGCATGTTCATCTTGTCTCGAGGCAAACCTATCGTGTAACGATAATAATAATACTATTAATACTAAATACTAATAATGGTAATAATAATACTAGAAACATCGTCTGGGTATGTGCGATTTAGTATAAATATAACGATATTTGAAAATAATGAAAGATACTGACCACTTTGCCATACATTCTATGCACCACATTGGACGGCAATAGCACATTGTACAGCTATCAGAATCTCTGCTCTCGATAACGTCACATAATTTTTGCAATTTCATATTTGCGGTTGCTTGCATACATCCTATGCATTGATCCAACTCCTGAAGATACAGATCATAAATAAAAGAAAATGAATCGACAGAAGGGACAAAAAGTAATTAAGCCTATAACAATATTGCAACATTTAATACCTGAGTAGTATTGTAGACTGGATTTTTATTAGCTTGTTCTTTGAAAGCACTGATAAACCTATCAAGCAAGGTTTTGTGGAACGTTATATTTTGTGGTATAACGATTGATCGCTTAACTTTGTTTTGCAACTCTTTAAAGTCTAATGCATTCAATCTTATTTCAAATGCCTCTGCATTTGTTCGCATAGGCTTTACCTAAAAAACAATGCTTGTAGGACTAATTTCAAAGCAATGTATATATAATCAAGTTATATATTGTATGTATATATAATAAATAAACTAAAGATAATAATATAAAATATATAACAGTGTATATATATTTAGATAGTACCTGAATATTGATATATTGTACTTGGTCTCCTGTTACGTCTGACATTAAATGAGTATCGCATTTGTTTACTATCAAAGTAGTGTCGCTTTGATGCGCCACTTCTAACTTGAAAGAAGTGATCTTAATAATCCAATTGTCTGTTACTACAATACGAGTTATGCCATTGGTAGCAATATCAATTTTATCTACCCTAAAATAAGATATTGTTACTTTAGTATAAATATAAGTATATAAGTTGTCATGAATATATACTTGTAATATAATTTATATTCTCTTAAATATACAGAATACCCAGAGTTGGATAAGTTATTTTTTTTAACTAAATTGAGATTAAAGTTAATGGCCTCTCTTTAAATTAACTTAATTTATATTAAGTTACACAAATAAAAATTATGTGAATTAAAAGTTAACATTAAATTAACTCATTAAAGTTAATTTAAAACTTAATTATATATTAAAAGTTAATTATACAGAGCAACATAAACATATTTTTTTGTATAATTAACTTTTAATAAAAAATTAAATTTGTGATTTATTAGTGAAAACATCTTTCATTAAAAAATACTGAATTTTTGTGCTAAAGATCCTATATAAGAAAAAACATTGGTGTTGAGAAACAACAAATTTTTCTGTCATTATTTTTTATTTTTCTCATTTTACATTTGGTCTGTTCTTTTCAGCTGCACTGCTGAACTAGTGTAATAAGTTAAAATGAGATACGTAAATGTTTTCTCACTCTAACTTATTGCACCAGTTCAACAGTGCAGCTGAAAAAACAGATCAATTGTTATCAGGTCGTAATAATAATTTAATATATTTAAATATAAGTTAAAGTTAATGCATTTAAAGATAACTAGTTTTAGTTAATACAGTTAACTTATTTAAAATTAAATTAAGTTAAAAATCATTGACTTTTCAATGTTTTATCTCTTAATTAATTAATTAGTTTAGATTACCCTAACCCTGAGAATACTTAAATAAACCTTCGATATTCCTTGTTAATGTCTGCGGCGACATCCACCCATGATGTGTTATGGTTGCTGTACACGGCAAGATTCCGCGCGATCGGATGTGTCAACCAATCATTCATGTACCATTCGCAAATTGTATTCAACGTATAGAAAGTTCCGACAGCAGCAAAAACAACGGCCGTCAGCGTGAAAAAATTCTCACCCGTATAGACCAATTTTGGAATGTCCAAGTAACCATAATATACTAATCCTAAGATGTAATCTGGACGAAGAAATCACACACTGAGTACGAATGTTTACGGACACATCAACAAGATGATCAACGTGTAGTCTCAAACGTATCAATTACCTAAAGGAAACATGCAGTATATGGAAATCGTAAGCACGGTTCTCCTAATGTGATGTTGTACAAAACATTCATTTTCACAACCAAGAAAATCTTTGCAGACATCTCTGATAGTAAGTCCCGCCGCGACAATCTCTACCGATGGATAGATGATACATCCACAAATCAAAATATAAAACAAGGTATAGAAAAACAAATCGGACATTTTTCGCTTATCCAAGAACTTTCCTTCACAGGTGGAATTTCGCCAGCAAATCGATGAGTGTTGATACTCGACAGATGTTACACTATTTTTAAGTTCTCTCAGCTCGATACCTCTTTTTCCTGTCAACATCAAAACCATCGAACCTAACCTAACCTAATCAAACCTAGGTCAGAGAACTTGCCTTAGGTTTCCCGCGCACGCGTATTTCTATATTTTAGGAAGCATTCACATGAGGCGTTTTTTCGTTTCGTGACTACATTAGCGTTTGGTTGGTTAGTTTGGTCCACTTAACGCTCGTAACGCCTCGAGCAACAAAGATAGAATGACGCTCGCGGTGTTGCGAGCGTTAAGTGGACTAAACTAACCAACCAAACGCTACCGTAGTCACGAAATGAAAAAACACCTATATTGTTAGAGAAGCAGAAAGGACAGCAACCAATCGGAACTCGTGCTGGTGTCAGGTGGTAGTCAACAGTTCCTGCTTTTCTATCAGCACAAGTTTTGATTGGTTTCTGCTTTTCTATCAAGATATGAATTCTCCTTTATTTTCTATTTCTTACTTGTCTAAATTTGAGTATTTACGTCTCTTTTACTCTAAATACAGAAGTGCAAGTAAATCAACAAATCTTCTGACATCGTGAACTATTTTATTTACGCCCGATCATGTAGGTGTCCTGCAATTATCTTCTAATAAACTTCACTATGGTAATGAATGTGGAACATGTTCGTTGGCGACACCGTCAGGCGTAGTCTGAAAAGAAAGTAATTGCAGTTGTTGCAAGATATGGATTTTAAACATATTCGGAGACGGTACAATGTTTTATTAGCTTTTTCAAACAAGGTAATTATATACATACACTTGAATTCTTCCAGGCACTGTGGAGTATAGTAGTTTAGCTTTTAAGAAGTTTACAACAATTTTATATTTGTAGGCTAATGAGATACGTAGATAGGAACGAACCAAGTAGGCGCGAAGTATGCGCGAAATGGGCGGCCCGTTCGAAGTTACCAAGTCTCATTTGTGCGGCCTACTCTCCACTGAAAGATCCCACGTCGTCGGCTTTATAAGGATAGTAGCCACACCTACATCCACGTAGTTACGCTCACACGATCGAGCTGACGATAAATGGGTAACGTATCTACGTCGATGATATAGCTGCGCCGAGTTAAGATGCGAGTCTCCCATTATGGCAATAGTACCCAGACAGACAGACACAGCACAGACGTCTAAAATACATCTTAGAAACATCTAAGGCCTGTATTAATAGTCGTTACTTGAAACTTGTCTCCAGTGAGATACTCATATATGAGTTTAGAGTTAGATGCGAATTTTTCAGCTGAATCACGATTACAAATATAATGCCACGTATTTTTGCTTAAAAATATAAGTATATATATATCATCGACATATTCTATATGATTTTATCTGAACTTATATTTTCTATTAAAAATTTTAGATTCTTATTTTTTAGATCATGTAAAAAAGTTAGATTTCCAATTTCTTTCATTTTATATCGTAACCTACTTTTGACGATTATATATTATACTAAATGATTAAATATTTATTTGGATACACATGCTTTTCTATGTAATTTTATTTTTTTACTAAAAATACGATTTAGTTACACAAATTTCCAAGTTTTAAGTTTCAAGTGACGATTACTAATACAGAGAGTCAAGAGATGTCAGAAAATAAATAAATCATCTTTCAAACATTTCTGAGATATTAATAGTTGTCAATTAAAACTTGTTTCTTATAAGATATTCGAATTTTTATTCAGAGTTAGATTTGTTTTTTTGTTGAATTGATATATATGACGTTTATATAATTATATTTGTAATCGCTATTTTCAACTAGAAAACTCTCAAATAACTCTGAAACTTAAATTTGAATATCTTACTTTACTATGGAAACGAGTTTCAAGTAATAACTATTAATACGGACTATTAAAATATCTTTTAGATATTTGTGCTGTCTGGCAAGTACAGTATGCATGAGAGAAAATCACGCATCAGGTCAGTAACTATGTAACCAGTTGCTGAAGCGAGACATGTTCTTACGGTATAGCATCGCTTATATTACACGTCTTGGTATTTCAAGATTCTTTTTACAGAGGTTGATATTGCTATAGACAAATGGCTTCTTGGGCAGCATAAAACATAAAATTATTCTAGAATGTCTTGGAAAGTATTCCAGGAGTCATGAGTATATCTAAGATGATTCTATATGAATCCAGAAATTTTGGATTCGAAATTCTTTAAGTTGCAGCAAATCCGGATAAAATATCAACTAAACAAATGAAAATTTATTGAACATACTATTGCGATCAGGTTGCTGAATATTTGCGCCGCTGACTATTTCAGCTCTTTACTCTTTGTAGAACGATGTGGCGTTCAAGGGATACAATAGGCGCGCCGTAAGGACACGACGGCTATTCCGGAACGGAAGTACACACATGTGTGTACGTACATATACACATCGTTTAATAGCTGCAGAGTTCGTCGGCCGTGCTCTCTAAAATTGTCTCGAGTCTACGAGCTTAAATTGCTTCAGACGCGCGAATCTTCGTGCTTTATTTCTGCTTTTGCCCGGAAAATACGCACGAGGGAAGGCGTTAGTCGTGGAGACTGCGAGCGAGAGATGCGGAATGCGTTGCATAACGTAAAAGCGACGAGGAGCGATACAAAGTATGTATAATGTGGATATGCAATTTTTGCAGAGCCAATAGCTTATTAAAATTGCAAGATTAAACACAGCTTTGTGACGTCTGCTCCGGCGTGATCGTGCGCGATCGCACACACGCAGTTACGTAATCTCGTGGTCCTACGTGGCCGGATATGAAGCGCGACGAGTGTCATTGATGGCAGCGTGCTCGCGGAACAAGCGTAGTAAATCGGGTACAAACCGAGGCTATAAGAGATTGTAGCTCGCGCTTGGCGCGGCTCAGTGAGTCAAGATAGTTCGAAGGAGCTCCATTGCCAGCTTCGTTTGAACGGCCGGTGGCGTCGAAAGCGCATATATTCTCACATCTGAACCAACAAACCTTCGTCCAAGTTTGACAAATTCTTCTCTGTCAAAATGGTAAGAATCTCTTCTTCTTTTCTTTTCGTTTCAAATATACATTTTCGTTCGTTTTAGTTGCGTCTCTAAAGAAAAATGAAGAAAGAGGCAACTAAAGCACGCGGTCTATCGAATGTATCATTATTATTTTTGTGAATAGCGCAATCTTAGTTTGATCTTTAAAATCTTGAGATTAAAGATTTGCGAAGCGCAAATCTTGAGATTCGCTCAACGCAATATTATCTCGTGTATTGGCACAACTGGCGACTGTGATGATACATACAACCGTTGCATTACGTTATTGCTACTTTTAGAACAAAAATTCGCGCAATGCCTAACGACGCGACGAAGCGCGCTTTAGCGACATGCGTTTCTCATTACTGCGGTCGTCTTGTATCGCGCGACGGTTTCAGTTTTAATCTTGCCGATTTTTTTCAAGATTGGCATCTATAATACCCGCTTAAAATTCTATAAGATAGAATAAAATCCGGATTGAATCCTGAGAATGTATACGAATTGTCTCATTGAAATACTAGTTGATTCTACCTGAACTTGTCATTTCTATTAGGAAATTCAACTTCTCAATATTTTAGCTCATAGAAAAAAATTATCGATTTCTCTTGTTTTATATCGTAGCGTACTTTTGTAACGATTGAAGATTATATTAAAGGATTAAATAATTATACATATATCTTTTTGTATAATTTTATCACTTTTTACTAAAAGTACAATTCACATTGATTTCTTTCATCTAATTCCGTCAAATTTTCTAAGCGCAGCAATTTACACTAAGAGAAAATATATTTAGAAAATAAAAAGTATTATATAATTCGATGGCTACTATAATAACATATTCATTAATATAAAATATTTTTCAGATAAGAAAATGTATATGTTCTTATTTGAACAATATTTTATATTAATACAAGTAAATACGTTATTAGTATTCATCGAATAAATATTTTTTATTTCTTAGGTATTTTTTTGTTAGAGCATACATCCACATTTACGTAATATGTCTAATATATGCGTGTATATATGCGTAATATGTCTAATATATACGATGATCTGTTTTCTCGGCGAACTCGGATCCATTTTCTTTTTTTATCAATCTAGCCGAGAGGTATCTACAATTAAAAAACATCTAGTGGTTTCAGGATATTCTAGATAATACATGTTTCATTTAACATTGCATATATTTACTGTTAGATAGTAGTTTGTTTGCTTTTAGCAAAAGAGAAAAAAGAATGAATCGAACCGTGATCAGAATGTTATTAGCCTTGTAACACTTTCAGCGTGAATGCATATCCGTCCACGTAGGACAGGCGGGAGTGCAGATCGGAAATGCTTGCTGGGAATTGTATTGTTTGGAGCATGGCATACAACCGGACGGGCAGATGCCGTCCGACAAGATGCTTGGGGGCGGCGACGACAGCTTCAACACCTTTTTCAGCGAAACTGGCGCTGGAAAGCACGTACCTAGAGCGGTATTCGTGGATCTCGAGCCCACCGTAGTAGGTAAGTGGGACGTGGTAACCCGATGTGCCTCACTTGACCATTTCAACGATCCAGGATTGGGAAGTAAGGCGTCACTTGCAATACCATTGCCGTTGCAAGTTACTTTTTTCAGTAACGACTTGGTGATATTATTTTTTTTTCGAAAAAAAGGAAAAGACAATAATGGATTATTTCTTTTTTCATTAGTAACGGTAACACGGTTACACAATAACAATGACGAATATAATCGTTTTTTTTTAACGGTAAACTCAGGTAACAGAAAAATCTAAGAGACATCTTCAAAAGATGCCCAAAAAAATGTAATTTTATCTTTAGTAAAATCTTTTTCCATCAAATACATAATGACGTCAAATGACATTTTAATGAAGCATTAATGATGTATCCAATAATACGCCACTTGACGTTATTCTGCTACTTGAGAGATGCTACTTGATCTTATATACGGCTTTAAGAAAATTCTTTTAAGACTAGAAGGAAATTATGGGATTGTACGAAATAGTACTTTGTAACTATTTTTTTTTAAAGTTAGAATATTTTCCTTTTAATTTTAGAAGAATCCTCTTGAAGTCAAAAAAAAATTCCGCTAAAGACAGGATTCTATTTTTTGAATATAAATGATGTCGAAAAGACATTTGAAAAAATAGGAAGTCTTTTTAAAAGACTTCCTATTTAGGAGTTCTGCTGCCTAGGTACATGTTATTTGTAAAAAATAACCGCCCAATCCTGAAATTATCCAAAAAACGAGATCTGACGAGAATATGCTTTTCAGATGAGGTACGCACAGGCACATATCGGCAACTGTTCCATCCGGAGCAACTGATAACCGGCAAGGAGGACGCCGCCAACAATTATGCGCGTGGTCACTATACGATCGGCAAGGAGATAGTGGACCTCGTCCTGGACCGCGTTCGCAAACTGGCAGACCAATGCACGGGACTGCAGGGCTTTCTGATTTTCCACTCATTCGGCGGCGGCACCGGTTCCGGCTTCACGTCCCTGCTGATGGAGCGGCTGTCGGTCGACTACGGCAAGAAGTCCAAGCTCGAGTTCGCGATTTACCCGGCGCCTCAGGTCTCGACGGCCGTGGTGGAACCATACAACTCGATCCTCACAACGCACACCACCCTCGAGCATTCCGACTGCGCGTTTATGGTAGACAACGAGGCGATCTATGATATTTGCAGGCGCAACCTGGACATCGAGCGACCGACTTATACGAATCTGAACCGACTGATCGGCCAGATCGTGTCCTCGATCACGGCCTCGTTGCGCTTCGATGGCGCGCTCAACGTCGATCTCACGGAATTCCAGACGAACCTGGTGCCCTATCCTAGAATCCATTTCCCTCTGGTCACCTATGCGCCCGTTATATCCGCGGAGAAGGCGTACCACGAGCAGCTATCCGTCGCCGAGATAACGAACGCTTGCTTCGAGCCGGCTAATCAGATGGTCAAGTGTGATCCGCGTCACGGTAAATACATGGCCTGCTGCATGCTGTATAGAGGTGACGTGGTGCCGAAGGACGTGAACGCGGCGATTGCAACCATCAAGACCAAGCGCAGCATTCAATTCGTCGATTGGTGCCCGACGGGCTTCAAGGTCGGCATCAATTATCAGCCGCCGACAGTCGTGCCCGGCGGCGATCTCGCCAAGGTGCAACGCGCTGTTTGCATGCTGTCGAATACGACGGCGATCGCCGAGGCTTGGGCGCGGCTCGATCACAAGTTCGATCTGATGTATGCGAAGAGGGCCTTCGTGCATTGGTACGTGGGCGAGGGTATGGAAGAGGGCGAGTTCTCTGAGGCGCGAGAGGATCTCGCCGCGTTGGAGAAAGACTACGAGGAAGTCGGCATGGACTCCACTGACGGAGAGGGGGACGGTGCAGATGAATACTGAAGATTGATTTAATTTTTTCGGAGGCCCAGGTAGCAGAAGCTTCCAAAAAACATCTTAAAAATGCCTGAACAAATGGAACGCCTAAAAGATACATAAAAGAAAGAAAAAGAAATAAATGCTTACACTGAGAGAAAAATATCTAAAAGATAAACAAATATTTTTCGATGGGTATTGATAATATATTTACATAAATCTAAATTTTTTTTAATAGAATAAAACAATTGTTTTCATGAAAAGCTGAAATAAAAAAAATGTATATTCCTAAACAGCACAAATACTGTAGAAACATCTCAAAGACATCTAAGAGATGTCTAGACATCTCAAAGATGTATTTTAAAGATTTGAGCTTTCTTTATTTGAAAAATATTTTATATTAGTATAAGTTAATATGTTATTATAATATCTACTGAAATAATATTATTTTTTAATTTTTTCTTTCAGTGTAAAAAACGCACGAAAGAAAAAAAGATAAGCGCCTAAAAGCTGCCTAAAAGACGTCTAAAAGAAAAATCTGAAAAAATTGGACGTCTTTTAGACGTCTTTGAAATGTTTTCGGAATTTCTGCTACCTGGAATTGCTTCGTTTACTTATGTTTATCACGACACTCGCCGCCTATTAGCGCGATGAGCCTGCGATCTTCCTGCCCGGCCAATTTCGTGAGACCCGAAGTAACCCTCTCAAAGTTACCACACAAGCAATCGTGTTAACTTTGCTACTTGCTTTTTACTCGACTCGAATTTGTGCGAATCTCATTATGAGACGAAGTGTCTTCACATGGTTTGGCCAATTTGTTACTTAGTTAGAAGCTTGGAAAGATGCAAGTAAATACTGAGAAATATAAGCATATCCAAAAGTACTGTCTCGTGTATTTTGTAATATTATTTATATATTATATCAACCATTATTACAGTAATAGATTGCATTAATATATGTCTTCGATCGTACAATTATTATTGATCATTACATGATACGTGTGAATACTACAAGTGAGGGAATGGGGGAGAAGAGGGGGCGAGAAGAAAGCGTGTATGAGGCGAATGCTTCCACAAAAGGTGTGCCTCGGTCGGGCCTTGAAGCACGTGTGCGATCTCGGATGACGAGTCGTCATTTGGAGGAGAAAGCACAGCGTAAATTCGATATATTGCACCACGAGCTAAACTCGCGCAACTTGTGCTCTGTATATAGCGATAGCGGCGATGGTAATTGCATTGGTCTTAATGATAAAACTAATAGTAATAATAATAGTAATAATAATAATAATTAATAATAATAATTAATAATAATAATTAATAATAATAATAGCAAAAGTAATAATAATCGTGATCGTCAACGTCGATATCGAGATCGAAGACAAAACGATACAAAATAAAATATATCATCAAAATCGAACAGATAAATCCCTCTCCTCGTGCATGCATCGATGAAAATGAATATCTTCGAGTCGCGATGTGCATGTGCGTTTTGTCCCGTTCGCGTCATCCGTTCGTCTGGACCCACTAGTTACTCCCGCGAGTATCGCTACATTACATTCAACGCTCGTATCATTTGAAACAATGCTTCCTGTGTACGTGCGCTCGGATCTATGCATGCACGAGACGAAGTTTGACGCCGATATTATTTGTACATATAGCATACGTTATACAAACGATTGATCGTGTCAATTACGGGATAAAAACTACAATCATTAGTGCTCGAATCGTAAGTCTTAACAACACTTCTCGATAGCTTCAACAAGCCAGAGCGCGCGAATACACGAGGAAAAGAAAGGAAAGATGGCAACGCGTTTCGCTCGTTGCCTCAACATTGCTTTCTCTCTTTCTCTATCTATCTATCTTTCTCTCTCTCTCTCTCTCTCTCTCCCTAAGTAACTCTTTATTTGAATTAAATTCGTCGCTAGAAAATACACGCGTATGTTTGTGTGTATGGGTGTGTGAGAATTGCAAGAGGGGATGATCTGACAACACAGAATAGAAATGTTGTATTTACTTACTTGGTCCAACCAAGTACTTCGACTTGTTGAAGTTACTGTAGAAAGCTGTTACTTGACTGCAAGTGACATGCAAACGGTCAGGGGCAAATCAAATCGGTCCACTCAATTATCGTAAATCAGCAGATACGATAAAGAATGAGGCAGGAGATGTCGGATGCAAACTGATCGAGATACGAGGAGAGGCACGTCCTAACACCCGGTAATGAACTCTGAACTTCACAGAAACATTACCGTGCTCTCTACTTTCCATATTTACACGCAACGAGTATATATCCTTATGATAAATTTCAATTTGCAATTTCCGAACGATTTCGTTACGCTGAGAATAATGGGGGGAGGGGGGAGAAGTGCACGTCGAGAATTCGCTATCACACATTGCGTCGTACCCTTGATTCCACTGGCACTTCTGTTTGGGTCCGATATAGTACTTTATTTTACTTTACTGTGTTTTCGCATAAAGTATTACCGATCGCCTTTCTTAGTTTGTCTCGGTGTAAGCTAATTAATGTATCCTCGTGGGTGTGTGTGTGTGTATGTGTGACTTACTTGTCGGCGTTACTTCATTTTATTTGAATTTGCGTTGATATCAACATCAACCTATATAGTTATGGTAACAAAGAGGTTTCAATCCGATAACAATCATAATCAACGGCGTACCATATGTTACAAATTACTTTATACGATATATCGAATACGAGTGCTATGCCGAGAGAAGAAGAGACGATTCTATCGAGGGGTTTTTTTCTTTATTTCCTCAATGCTGACATTTTTTTGCGTGTCGCAGCGCGGACGCGACTTCCGCGTATATATATATATATATATTTTTTTTTTTTTCCAGCAGGACTCTTTCCCTTTCGTTTGTCTCGCACGTCGGATTTTAAGAGAGATTTTGTCAAACGCGAGGGCGCTCTTCTGCCCGCATAAATTTTCTAACTTTTCATTTTTCTTCGTGGTGAAGCCGTCTGTGTCGCCGAGTGGAATCCGCGAATCTTTCGACGAAGATCACATTCGTCAGAGTTGCGATAGAAGAATAGAGACAATTTCGCGACGAGAAAATATAGAGCTGAAGCGAATAGCGACGACCATAATAGCAACAACGACGACGAGGGTGGATTGCGATAGTCGTGGTGACGGCAGCGAGAAGAATGATAGCAATGATAACGATAACGGCTGATGATGACAGTGAAGAAGAAGAAGATAATAATGACGGCGACGGCGACGGCGACGACGACGACGGCAACAACGACGACGACGACGGCGACGACGACGACGACGACAACGTCGACGACGACGATGGCAAACGGCGTCAACAACGGCGATTAAGACGACGAAGACGGCAATGGTGACGCCTCTCTATCTGTCTCCGTCGCAAAGTATGCATATGTAACTCTTTATTGCGTTACACACAAACGGGGTAGGAGAGGCAAAATTAAATTAGCGGATTAAATACATTAGCGCGACGCTTAACAAATTAAAAACGTAAAAACATTAACAGTACAATATAGTTTCCTTATCGTAGACGTAATGCGATGGCAGTCTTGAGTCCTGGAAAGATGCTGTGATTGTTGCTCGTTCGCTTCGATTATTCGCGTAAGTCCGTTCTTCTTCTTTCGTTTGTCTGTTTCTTTCTTTTTTTTTTTCTTTCTCATCTTCCGGCATTCGTCTGTGTGTGTGTGCTTCGTCTGTACTCGGAATTTCGTCCTCTGTTTTAAAACCGAACTCGCTTCGATCTTGACAGTTTAACTTGAATGTTCATTTTATTATTTACGATAAGCTTTTGCTTGTGGCAGTGTCTGCAAATATAGATTAGCTCAGCGTCAGTCGATGTTAACGTGTTCGTGTCTTATCGCATATCGTGTGTGTAGTCGGCAATTAGTATTCGAGAATATCTTCTCTAGACATTTCGCGCGAGTGTGATTCTATTTGAAGTAAATAAAAGTGTGTACATGATCGCTCTTCGATGCATCTATCTGCATGAGATTTAGCGACAGCCCGTCTAATGTGAGAAAGAAAGGGGTTGCTGCTCCTTCCTACCTTCTGCGACATCGTCGGGATCAACGGATTAACCATCCACGAGAGGAGTGTGTCGACTGAAACGATCGATCGAGCGAGCGAGTCGCCGAGGCTCCCCATCATTCGTCGAAAAAGAAGCGATACATTGTTCACTTTGTACTTGAGAATACGCGCAAAAAAGACACTTGTATACATAAAACTATACAATAACAAATATTTATTATCTTCCGCGACTCTTCATTATTATATTTTAAAAAAACTTATTATCTATTGTTAGGCAAAAATACTGTCGTGATGGCACAAAAATATAACACAACACTCGTAACAAAATTTAATCTTGTTACTTAAATTTGTTACTCGCACATAAAAGTAACATTTGTGTGACAGAATTTAATTTCGTTATTAGACTTGATGTTGAATTTAATTTAGTAACAATTTTATTTTCTTCCCGTGAACAGAGATTATTATAAAGAAATAAAGACGAGACAGCGACTCGTTCGGCCGTACGATCGATCTGTGGATTGTAAAAGACGCTAGAGTAAGCATAACAACGCTTATGAAAATCGCATTCAATAGACACGCAGGTAAAATTGTGTCCGTTCTCGACGAATCTCTAAGTACTCCTCGTGTAACACCGGTTCGTGTGAGTGATCGAGAGAATATAAGAGTGAGTGAGAATACAAGAGCGGCGTCGCGCCGCTTACATACCTGAGCTAGGACTACCTACGCCTCGACCGACTTCTTCTTCTCCTTCTTCTTTTTGAGGAAGGACGGCGTTCTAAGGCCCTTCTTCTTCTTCTTTTCCTTCTTTGGCGACTCCTCGCTAACGCTCACATCCTGCGACATGGAACCCTTAACACGGAAGGTCCCAACCGTAACCATAAACCTTTCTGCATGCACATGCATAGAGAGAGGGAGAGAGTGGCGGATTTCTCTCGTCTAAATCGTTCTATCGCCGACTTATCCGATCGCATGCAAGCCGAGACAATGGGAAACATTTGTAGAAGCGAGTCTATATGCGAACGACTATATATGCCTTGTATATATGAGCGCTGTATATAGATGTAACAGTGAAATTAATGTAAGAGATCAATGCAAGGCGCAAAGCGACAATTCGCTCGAAACAGATTTTATGTTCCATGACGATTTTTATATGTGATGTATCATCTCGGAAAGTGTCTTAGACCCATACAATAGTTGTCATCTGAAACTTGTTTCATCTCAGAGATAGCACAAAACGTTTTATGAATATTCTCACGAAATATAAACGTTCTTAAGGGGAGATTTTGGTAACCAAAAAAAATAAGTAATAAGTTTCTAGGATTTTTTTCAAAGAAATATAAATATATCAATATTGGATTTTGATCAATTTACCATTGTTTCAAGCATAAAAAATTATTTTTCTATTAAAAATAAATTGAAATTTTGTCGTCCAAGTTTTTTGCGTTGAGCGCAGTGTCGTTGGATGTCTCTAACTAATGAAGATTATAGCTCGTGTAACAACCTGAAGCAAATGGGAGAGAAAATTTAAGAACTGTATTAAATTTGCTAGAGGATGAACCTTTGTTATATACAGCATGTCGAAAGTTAACAAAATGACGACACTTTAAAGTTACAAGTTATTTTTACTCTCTCTTTTTTTATATAGTGTTCTGGAAAATTTTTGAAAATTTTTCAAAGAATTCAGATTCATCCTCCAGCAATTTTAATACAATTTTTAAATTTTCTTATCTTATTTGTTTTAGATTATTATATATGCTGTAATATCCATCAGTGTTCGGTGACATTGCATTCAACATAGATAAACCTGAATTTCTTAATCTTTCTCTTAAATATTTTATATTTAAGACATTGATAAATAGCATAGTCAAAACTTTATATTGCTATCTTTATTCATTTGTTTAGAAGAACTCGTAAAAAATTTGCCTTAATTTCGAATCAGATAATCTATGAATATATGTACAAAATTATAGACAGATTCGTATATTTATAGTAGAAAAGAATGTTCTTATAGAATATTCGTAAGTGTTATTTATTGTGCATGTGCAATGCATGTAACTGAAAAGTGTAAAACAAGCCAAACAGTAGCCAGAAAAAAGTTTCGGGGGCTGCATTTTTTATTTTTAACGAACAAAAAAAGATCATTCGAAAAAATTTTTCTTACACTTAGCGTAACTCAGAAAATTAATTTTGGGAGGAGGCTGCAGCTCTTCAGCCTCTCTGGCTACGCCACTGGTTCCAAATCTTCCAAATAATACGCACTTATTATAATTTAGTAATAAAACAAATGAAACAATGAAATACTCAAATATGATCTTTTTATAATTGAAAGAATAAAATCAATAATTAACTTCTAAATATTCTATGCACATGTTTATAGATGAGTTATTCGGATATACTATTTCGGATGAACGTATTATGAACATATAATAATGTTTTTAGTACAATTTGTTGAATGCACAAATATTCGTAAGGAGTACTTGTAAAACATTCATAGATTTATTTCTGTGTTATCTGAGATGAGAGATGCTCAGAGAAATGTTTATTCAGAGTTAGATCCAAGTTCCTCAGTTGAATTGCAATGATGTGACATTTACATTTGCAATCGCGATTTAACCGGAAAACTCTCATCTAACTCCGAATTCAAATCTGAGAGACGAGCTTCAAGTAACAACTATTCATACGCGCCTTACTTCCCACTGAAAATAGCGTTCCCAGTTTCGTACGAATGCATCAGAAGTGTGACACAGTGTAAGGTGTGAAAGTGACGTACATATGCGGAGATCAGTGCGAGTCTGTTACCTCGCGTTACGCGAAGGATAATAAACGCGATCGATCGATTTCTCTTCTCAGTGTAATGCAAAACTCCGTTTCTCGCTTTTGCGCCCTCGCACTTGGATTCGAAATACACGTACGTGTGTGTGTGTGAGAGACACTGTTTACCCACATATATTGCCAATAACTCAGCTAATTACGTCCGTCTTTCTGTTCATCTCCAATTGATCGTACGTCCGTCTTTGTTTCAGAATTAGATTAAGGTATACGCACACAGGATGAAAACATGTGAGAAATTAACGCGACAGTCCGGCTCCCCGCATATGGTACATGTAGTACATCGTGCGGTGACTCTAATGTGAAAAGTATTGCTACAAACCTCCTTGCTACTTTGCGAGAAAGTGCTGTGATGAGCGTCCGAGTGATCGCCGTTTACAGTATTTTCTCCTAGAACATAAAAAATGCATTGATGATTACGCGTATCTCCGAGATCTTTCTCGATTGTAATAAGAAGCGACGAAACAAATGCATAAGGCAACATACAATCGTACACCGCGAAAACATTTGAAAATTTATCTGTGGGGTAAAAGATTATTTCGGTGAGATACTCGGATTTTTATTCAAAATTTATTTAAATTTTGCAGAAATAATCTTTATCTCATAGAAATAAACTGTATGCCACGAATAAATTTTCTAGTATCATTTTCTCAGTGTGTTTCCCGTAGTGATCCGCGAGTCAAGGTATTGAAATTACTCGTCTTGAGCTTAGACGACGGTAAATTACATATAATTACATACTGAGATGAAGAAAAGCGAGAGAGAGAGAGAGAGAGAGAGAGAGAGAAAAGAAACACCTTACCTTCAGGAAAACGATGATTGTCGGAGCCAGATATTGATTCTTGGATTTGTTATGGAAGATCAATATTCCCAAGCAACATCCTTAGCATCAATCATTCTCAGTTTGCAGGAAGGATACGTCGAGGAGATAGCGGGATAATGATGAGGATTAATGCAGATCAGAATATAGATCGATATAGAAAAGTGACGAAAAGCGTTATGTGCCAACTTTTATGTCACCAAACGTGCGTCAAAACTGCGTGCGACAGGTGTACACATTTAGGAAAATATATAAATATTATAGGAACATATATAAATTATAAGTATTTGTGGAGCGCTTAACACTAAAATATGATATTGTTATTAGAGAGTGATGTAAGAGTGTATAACGCAATTTTATCGGATGAACTCTCGTTAACTAGACAAAAGAGCATACATAAAATAAACTAAGAAATTAAAACTAACATCTTTAGTCTTCTTGATATCTTTGGTCTCAAATCTTTGGTCTCTGAGCAACAAAACTCTAAGGAAAAAAGAAAAACTAAAAAATAATAAGAGACCTGAAGTAAATAAAAATAACATTTTTTATGTGCTGATTCGCACTATAAAAATAGTGAACATTTTCTTCTCGAATTAAGATATGCTTCGTCCTGTTTACATAAAGTTAGTCGCACAGAAAACGTGCTTTGTTGGTACGTAAACACGGACGTTAGAATTGATTATGAAGAAAAGAAAATTGAAGAAAATCGACGAATATTACAATCTAGTGCAAACTTCCCGGCACTTTACGCGGTATATAATAATATTACATATTTGAAGTATGAATAATAATGAATAATAAAACATCCACCATCGACAATTTAAGATGAATTAAGCTGCATGCGCGTATTAAGCTCGTCAACGAGCAGAAGCGTATGCCGTTAAATCGATCGTTAAAATGCTTCCTTCCCAATTTGATCAGCAAAGACCGACATCTCGTGTTTGGCGGTTTAACTGATCAATCGCGAAGTTAAGGTGAATATTCAATAATCCGAGCGATCAGCATAGTATCAGCTACGCGTTCAGTCGCGAGCCCTCCACGATGGTCTTTTCCAAGCGTATGAATTCTTTAGTGTCATACGAACACGACATGCAATCTACAGAGTCCCAAATATCGTCGCAAGGTTCCCGAGGATCGCTTCTCTCGTCGTTATCGCTGTACTCGGAAATCGTGTAGGTGTCGTCGAGAGACATGGTCTTTCTCGCGGGATTCCCACTGTTCTCGTCGACCAAGTGAACTTTCAGTTGACACGACAAGTTGTCATCGTTCGAGTTCTCCAGCAAAGTAGACGTGGGGCAATCGTCGACGTGCTCGTACGTTGCTTCGTTCGGTTCCTCGTCTATAGGCGTCAAACGATTGGTTTCCGAGATTATCGAGTCATCTTCTCCGCAGCAGCAAGAGCAACTCTCGCACCAATCGCATATCTTGATGTCCGACCTCATCACTACCACGTTTCTTTTGTGACTGCTCTTGTTGAGATTCTTGGCGCTTATCAGCAGATCATGATCCACACGGTGAATCGAGTTCTCCACACGGCCGATTGCCGGAGTGTTCAGCCAATTGTTGGCACTTCTGTCCGTTGCGGCCTTGACCACGCGGAAGTTCAACTCCAGGGTTTCGTCGTCGGGGGCGACGATCGGCAGTCTTCTCGCCACGGTGCAGAATTCGATCACTGCGGAAGATGAATTCTCTTGCTGGCGCGTCTCGCTTTGATCGTCGCGATGGGGATTCGGTGACGAGTTTCCCAAGAAGCCCTTCATCTGGCAAATGCTGTCGTCATCGTTGTCATCGTCAGCAATTGTGCTCATCGTCATATTGTTACTTGACACGCACGTTTGGTCAGGAAGACACCCGTCTGTCAGTAACGAACACTCGTATTGGTAATTGTCAAGCAAGTAGCGCACGACTTCCCTCACGAGGCCGAGGTTGTAGATGGAGGAGTCAAAGTACGAGAGGACATAAACGCACTCGGTGATCTCGGCGACGATGCACCGTGCGATCTGCAGAGCGTCGTAGCGCGTCGTCTCGTCGGAAGCGTTAAGATCAGCGATGATCTCGTTAGTGGACTCGTTGATTCCGTTGTGGAACACTTTGCCGTCGATCTCCGACAGCTCGAGAACCGTGTGGCTCGGCAACTCGAGTATGTCGGAGCCAGAGCTCGTGGAGTGCTTCTCTAACTCCGGCTGCTCCAGCTCGTAGCTGCTGCTGTCGCTCGCTGCTTCGCGATCGCACGGACAATCCAACGGCTTCGCGTTCAGATCTATCGATTCCATCCATATGTAGTCGCCCAACGCGTCGCTGGCGTCGCTCTTGGTCGCGTCGGAGTTCCAGTCCGAAGAACGTTCCGCCAAGTCTCGCGACGTATCGTCCTCGTTGCTGCTCCCTTCCTCGTCGATGACTATGGACGGAGTTAGACTGTAAATGAGACTCATATTCGTCGAATCCAAATTATACTTAGTGCAGATGCCGGTGTTGGGTAACGCGTCTAGCTCTGTTCTCGACGTGGCGATATTCGCGTCCATGTTCTCGACCATCTTCACGATATCGTCGTAATACCACTCGAGCGTGTCAGATTCGTCGTCCAACTCTATTTTCGATGAGGAGTTATTCGCGTTGGTGTTAGACAGAGCGTTCAAATCTGTCCTGGACGAGACGATATTCTCGTCGACGCTCTTGGTTATCTTCACGAGAGCCTTATCATGCGATTCATATGTGCTGGTCTCTTTATTGTGTGAACATTCGTTCTCACACATGGAACTCTCGACCCAGGATCGAATATTTCGCTTCTTCAGCGCAACATTGTCATTTGTTTCTTCATTCGACGTTTCTTTATCTTTATCTGCCACAACATCAGCATTTTCGTGGCATTCGTCATGACTAACGGGGTGTTTGTCGGAGTAGTTGTCGGATAGTATATCATTTAACGGCTGTAAATTCTCTTCATTGTTATTATCTTTTTGAAATGGTTGGTAGATGTGTATAAGTGTTACTTCTTCCGCCGTCATTATCGTCTGTTGCTGTTCCTTAGCCACGTCGAATGTTGCACCTATAGAAACGTTACTTTCCTCGTTGTTTTCTGGAATTGTTTGAGATTGCTTCACCACAGGAACGGCTTCCTCGACCGACGAGTTACGATATTCGATCTCTTCGTGGTGTTTCGTCTTATCCTCGACTTGATTATCGCCATTTGTGCGGGATGTAGCGATGTCGTAGGAACTTTGCTCAGTTTCCTTCACGTTAACTACTTTAACGGAAGCTGCTTGCGTTATATTCTTCCATTCAACAGGATATATTGTGACGTTGCTCGAACACATCTCATCATTTGATTCTTTCTTCAGTTCTTTCAGATTCGTACTTGCCCCATGAGCGTCATACATTTTTACATGATGAAGATGCGTTTCTTCACTTGGCTTCACCGTGGAATTTTGCTCGCGTATATCTTCATCGTTATTCGTTCTTACCACTTCCGACAACGTAGTCGATCTCACCACTGCTTGCTGGTCCTCCAAGTCTCGGAAAAATTGCCGTCTCTTCTCGTAACGCGACTTGAAGAACTCGTCGATCGATTGTGACTCGGTGCTTTGGTCGTCAGCGAGCGTTCTTGAGCACGTAATTAGAACAGGTTTCTTTCGTTCGGCGGTCGTCGTAATTCTGACGTTCTCTAAATGAAGAGGATGGTAAAGGGACTCGCAGAACTGTTGCTCAATACAAAGCATTCGCATTCGTTCGCTGCTCGCGCTGCTGTAACTGCTGGATAGTTCGCAATCTGCAAGCATTATGTCCAAAAATATCTCAGACTAAGTTTCGACAAACGACGGATCGGTGCTCGTCCATCTCGTTCTTTGTAGAAACGGAGAACGTTCACGATCTCGGATACTCTCAGCCGCACGAGTCTTCTTCGTCGCTTACGCTGTGCTCGAAATAGAGGCACTCTTAGCGCGCTTCAGCTATCACTAATCGAAGCGCTACTTCACCTTACCGTTGCGTCTCTTTGAATTTATGCTAGAAATACGTTATCACGATATGCTGTTCTTTTCATGCCGGGAAAAGTTACTACTCACCGTCGCTATTATTGTATGATCGAAGCGAAACATAGAAAAAAAGTTTTGCCAAGACTTGAGACAATTAAATGAAAAATAATAGTATTATAAGGCAAGTTCGTTGTCATTCAATGTTCCCTTCAGTTAGAAAGAGCACAACACAAAAGCGCATCACGGATCAAGCAGAAACACATGCGGTTTTCAAAGCTTGTTTCATCACGTCGGAAGAAAGAAGAAGCGAAAAGAGTGCTGTCATATAATCAGTGATTATCGGTGCAAGCGTTTGCGATCGTTGTTATTTCGAGTGGCGAAAGGAGACGAGTAAGCTTTCGTAAGTTCGCACTAGACATATGTAGGCAAAAGTAACGGCAAATTCGATGCGTTTGCATACGTATCTCTAGTGGTGAGATTAAAATGAGAGGAACGTGTGCGCGATTCGTGTGATTATAATCGCGCACAGTGGGTGTATCCCTTATACAGGAAAAAATAATGAAAGGTAGCGAAATGTAATGTGCACGATCTTCAGAAGTGTATATTACACGGCGAATCACTCACCTCCTTTGTAATCGCTTTGTTGCTCGATCGTTCTGCTGCGGCGCATCTCATTGAGGAACTCTGTAGTAGCATCATGCACTGTGCATCAAAAATAAATACGTGTACGATTCACATCCGTCTACCAATAAGACGCTTCTCGTGAGAGAACCGTTGTACATAATAATGCTGTGCGTACATAGTACCTCTTATTGCCACGGGATTTATACCGACAGGTGTAACGACGGACTTGATGACTTTAAACACGCGATATTAATTAGTAGAGATATATTAAGAAGTGGAGTATCGCGTGATAGATAAATTAAGAAGGTTCTTTCGACGTGAAAAATGCTACAAATCAATTCTCGCATACAATACACGCTCACACGCATATGCACACTCACCTGTTCGTGGACAGATGTAAGTGAAATTCGCATTTTCTTGACTATCGAGGGTTTATATCATTACAATACACAAATACCGATTAACACATGCACAATTAGCGAGATGTATCTGCATGTGCAATGCAATCATTGTATACTTATAAGTACAAACGTGCTCTATTCTAATAACTTGCGGAGAAAGTTATGTCGTGAAAGTGTGGAGATGCGAATATCATGCGAATCAGTTGCAAGTATTACGATCATGCAAGAGTCGGGATCAAACTAATGTAAACGTTTTATGTGACGCGCTACTATACCACTCATCAATCATTTGTTTAGATTGGTGGGGAAACGTTATTTAGGACGAAATGAAGGAAAAGAAAAGACTTACCGTCGCTCAACACGACTTCGGGTTGACTCGGCGCAGGCACTTGTTTCGTTTCTATTCGCAATACTCGGGGTTCTGTAGCAAAGGAGTACGCGAGTGTTCGTTAATGACGTAGAAAATAAAGGTTCATTGCTATATTAGGTAGGTAGAATATGGTCATATGATACATATGGACACCCCCCATAAGATCCCATTAGTATACATAGATTTACCGTCTCTACTCTCCTCCTCCGTTTCCGAAGTAACAGAAACCGGTGACTGAATAGGACTCTTGGCAGTGCTGGATTCATGCGTCGCGCGACTGATGTTAAAGGACGACAAGGCCTCGGATTCTGATTGTGACTCATCGTCTAATTACAAAATAAACAGGTGATATTAATGGTTCCGCGGCAAAACGTCGGCTAAACGTTAAAGTGAACCCGCGATTCTAAGATACGGGAAGTACATGGATGCATGCAGATACGAGAAATATTGAAAGATAGAAAACTGACTAGAAATACTAGATGGATATTAGATAATAATACTAGAAATACTGAATGAAACACCGGCGAATCGCACTCACAGGGATCTCCCTTCTGTTTGCGCTCGATATCTCTCTTATATTGATCCAATTCTTGATCCGTCACGGCGTCGAAGGGATTTTTGGCATAAGGTGTCTTGTATACCATCGCATTGTGTTGGAAACCACGCTGTATAATACCTTTGCTAGCGGCTCCTACTAAGACTACTTGTTCTCCGGTACCACTAATCGTCGCGTCCTTGTGAGCAACGAACATACGTTAATAATAAAATACGTATTCGTTCCCGGGGCTTACAATACAGACAAAAAGTTACTATAAATATTGCAAATTTTATGTTACTATGTTTTAACTTAAATTAGTAATAATTGATTGGATAAAGAGCTACACTCTTTTTGTTGAATATAAAGTGTTAAAAATGCGGTAAATCCTCCTAATCGATATTCTACTTGATATCTAATTCATATTAAATTTAATTTTAAAATACGGTGAGTATTAAGTTGATATACCTGCATTTTCTTAGCTTCCTCCCATGAAACACCTTCTAATATATGAGATTGGGGACCAGCTGATATCTTGTCAGCTCGCCGGTAATCTTTAATCTATCAAAAAGATAAAAAAGTGTATCGAACTTGTACGTCTCCATTTAGACAAACTGAGAAAGTTGCGTAATTCTATATAGAAAGGATACAGAAACGAAATAGATAATACGGATGTAATCTGTAATACGTTTGCGCTTACCTGCTGCTGTATTTGTTTGAACTCCTTTGGATTGGTATTCTTCGGTACAAATTGTAGAGCACTGTCTATCTTCACTGGCGTGCTGCTATGGGTAGGAGATCCGTCAGACACCCACTGCACACAAAACCAGAACATTAGTCGACTCTCTCTTTAATCATTGTAAGAAGATTATGTTAACGTAAGATAAGACTCTTGCATGCTATGTGTGCCTGCTGCATACATTTCTCCTCTAGCAGATTGCTTCAAAGCGATTGAAAAATCGGGAAACAAAGTTATGACAAAGTTCAACGTTCCCATTTCATACAATGCTATATACAAATATACATGTACACAATTCGATGATACAATAATACCAATGATAATCTGCTTGCACGTGTAAAGAATCTAACATTTAGTATTTTCCTTCAAGAAGTTAAAAAAAGGTTCATAAAACACATAGGGTCACTTGATCTGGTTTTGTAAATGCAGTGGGACGTGTGACCAGGCCACCGAGATCTTGATGATGAGATCAGGCACACATTCATACAGAGTCGTAGGGAACACTTGAGATATATTTTACATGATTTAATGATATATATATATATATATATATATATATATATATATATATATATAT